TTACGAAAAATTTGCTGCGTTCCACTGGAATTGATGAGAAAATAGAGCCAATAGAGAAAATAAGTGATGTTGAAGAAGTAGTAGAGGAAATTGAGTGTTTGCGACCACTCAAAGAACGAATTCAAGCAACAATTCAGCTTCCAGATAAGACTGTGTCTGATTTTCAACAGATTCAGCTCCCGAAGAAGATCTCTAGCGTTGTGTTTGCAGGCTTTCTTCGCAATTTCTCTAATCTTGTCGTTGTAGAGAATCACGTGCAATCGAATGATTTCCACAAAAATAAAGTGACTGAAGAAATTAAGTCTTCCACATTCTTGACACCAAAAAGTGCTGATATCAATTAAAATCCAACTAATGTGCGTGTCTGAGAATCTATTATTCGTCCACAAAGCGATTTTGCACGCAATTGTAGAGAATGAAAGTAGGAATATTCCGTTAAAGAATTTCCTCTTGAGAAGCTTGTTTGCCGTCTGAAGGCGAAATTTGTCTCGAGCAAAAGTTCTTTCAATTGTCAGTAAAATGTTCCAGAAATTGTACTGCTTTTCCTTCGTCATCAGCGTTTCGACAATGATAATGCTGTGAATGACGAAAGCGCCGTAGTAGATGATAATGTGGAAGATTGATTTGATATCCAAACTGCTGCTGATGCGTTGAAGCGTGAAGAAGGCGAAGAATGTAATAAGAATTGGAGTGAAGATGAGATAAAGGAGATTTGCCACAGTCAAAGAAATCATCCACTTTTTAGCTCTGCTCGTCATTTCCGGTGTTTGCAAGCAGATTCCGAACACTCGAAGGTAGATTAGGAAGGGTTTTAGCAACTGTAGCAATTCCATCGCCAAGTGAAAGTCAAGATTGTCTGGAATTGTGTGATAAAATTCTTCACAAGAGATCTTTTATCTAAGAATAGCTAATTAAGGTTGGGATAAATATTGAATCTCATGCCAAAGACAGTTTTGCTAAAGTTCAATTAAATGCCAAATCATTCGCTTTTTTGCGCCCTTTTTCATAATCCCATTAAAACTGTGGATTTAGAGAGAGGAAAAGATGATTTCACGAGCAATAAAAGTCGACTGTCGCGAATGGTTGTGGCAAAATCCCTCTGGAGATCCCAATCATTGACTTTTCATCATCGTAATGCGCGCACTTGTGACATTTTTATCGGCACCAGAGCTCTTTGGGTTATTAATCAAAAATATGTATCGCTGTTGCACCAGAAAAGCACGATTGCACAACCGAGACAGACGCTCTCCGCGAGATATTCTTTAGCTCCAAAAGAGCGGATGCACTTTTGCTGAGCTGATACAATAGAGTCACGAGCACTTTCACAACCTTTGAATGTCACATATTCCAAAATTCACTCTAAAAAACACACACTTGGGAATTCACTGACGAAATGAGAGCTCTGAAGCCACCGAATTAACTCCCTCAAAAGAATTCTCCCAAAAACTAAAAATCTCTCTCACTATTACAATATCACAAATCACTCGACAATCTGCATGCATAAATGGCTTTCTGAGCATGTGAAGATACATAAATCTCTTGCTGAAAAAAATAACATTTCACTCGATTGTTTCGCCTTTCGATCTTCACGATGTCATATTCACCGGAAAACATGATTTTGGCGTTATTCCACATAGATTCTTCGCTGTCTCTCTATGAATACATGGAAAAAAGAAGGCAAAGAAGGCAAAGAAGGCTTTATCTCCACCCCGAAAAATCAAACTAGATTGCAAAGAGTCTTCGCCAAAAAGGCGAAAAAGATCAAGAGAGTTGAAAGAAAATGTGACTGTCTCAGAGTCTTTTTGCCCGCTCGAAGAATCCACGATTTCGCGATGGAATTGAAATTCAATGAAAATTCCAAATCGTGACATCTTTTTAATTTTTTGCCAAGGAGGAGATAATTTTTATTCTGTGAAATCTCTACAAATTCTTAACACTTTCAGCACTTTAACTGGGAAATTAAACCTAATTATCTAATATAATCATTGAGATTTCCATTATATTTAATCATTTGCAAGTCTGAAAGCAGGATTCATAACCTCACAATTTGATAAGAATTTTTCTCAGCACTTGGCGAAGGCAAAGCAGTTTGAAAGGTGTAAAAAGCAATGAAAAATACCTTTAAAAGCGTTCAGAAATGTCTGAAGTGTTTATGATTGAAGATCAGAAAGCTTTGTAAATGAACGTTTTCTCAGTTTGAATCGTCATTTTTGAGGTTATGTTGCCTCTATCTGTAATCTTATCCTGAATTTTAAGTGTTTCTTAACTTGCAAATGCGTAATTCTGCGGAAAATCAGAATTGATTACGATTTAAGCAAAAGATTTGATGTTCTTTCATGCAAATTATTCACTAAATCCATCTTGAATTCTTCACATAACCTAGAAAAGCATGATTAAGCAGGAAACTGTATTATTTCCTCCTTCGATTTTCCCTCCTGGACATTTTGAGAAGAAATGTGGCGCAATAAAAATTGTAACTTCACTTTGCAAACCGACACTCGGCCGCCCTTTTTCGCCACATTCACGTGGCATTTTATCTCTCTTTAATGGCCTGTTCGACACATTTCAATTTGCATTAGCAATTTGCAGAAATCCATTGGATTTTATGACGCGATACACACCAAATATCATTGATTCGGCGCGACAATGGACGGGCGCGCAAGTGTTTGGCCAAAGATCTGTCCATTTTCGCATGCGAGCATCGCGAGAGGGAATTTTATGCAAATTGATACAACAGAAAGGGCATTCAAGTCGTGCTTTTCATCCTCGGCATCCGCAGGGGAATGAATAAGACAATAAATTGTGTGCATAAACATTTTTCATCGATTGCTAAGCCCGCGAAAAAGAGCAGCAAAGTGCAGCTGTGCTGAGCGATAAGGGAAAACACTCTTTGCACTCCAAGATAAGGAGACTTTCGCCTTCATCGTGATCTTCCGGGGATGTCACTCCTCCGGATGGATTGTGTTTGCCGGCATCGAAAACGGCACTGAAGAGATCTTCAGGTGCACTTCGAAGCCACCGGACACGATCCATTGAGAGCCCAGCGAGGCGTGCTAATCCACAAAGGTGCCGCTCTCTAGGAAAATATGATCACATCTCTTTCACTCCGCGGCGATACTCGATGAAGAGCCAATAATAATTAAAAGACAAAAAAGAGTGTCTTATGCAATATTGTGCATGTTTTCTGCCTGAGAATTACGCGGAGATTTTTACGAATCAACAATTACCATCAATATCACTTTTATCTGGCGATTCATGAGAGATACGGTGCTTTCCTTTCATCGCAAGCATTAAAATGTCTTGGAATTTATATGCGCGCATTAATCGTTTAAATGCAAATTCCGCCAAATCGCCGAAATGTATACCAAACGCACTCAACATCCCGGAAACTCGCCACGATTCATTGTGTGGTGAAGTTCGGAACTAAAACTAGCGTGCATGTGGTGACAGTGCGCCATCTAGTGTTGTTTAGAGGTCAACTAACACCGAAAATGCTCCAAAAGGAGCCAACTTGATGACAGCCAAGGTGGCGCGGTGGGTAAACATAAACACAAGTTGCGGTGAATGCTTTGCGGAATCATGAGTGGCCTCAAGGAGATCAAAATTATCGTGAAATGGAGTGGGAAGGAGTACGAAATAGGAGATCTCACGGAACAGGACACAGTGGCCTTGCTCAAGCATGAGATATGCAAGAGAACCAACGTTCAGCCCAACAGACAGAAACTTCTCAACCTCAAATATAAAGGTAACTCGCATTTTTCCACCTCAATTCTCTCCTTTGCTTCAGAGATTTCCTCTCTCGTGGTCCAGGCAAGTTTGCGTCGGACGACATTAGGCTCTCAGCGCTGGAGATCAAGCCGAACTTCAAGCTGATGATGGTGGGCTCAATTGAGGCGGATATTGAGGAGGTCTGCACAGTGCCTGAGGAGGAGGATGTGATAGATGACTTCGAGACGTCGAATCCCTTCGAGGAGCAGTCGTATGACAAGCAGGAAGTGTACTTGTCCAAGGTGAACAAGCGCATTCGTGACTACAAGATCGAGATGAGGAATCAGCCGCGCGAGGGCAAGAAACTCCTCGTGCTGGACATTGACTACACTCTCTTCGATCATCGCTCCACGGCAGAGCAAGGCACTGAGCTGATGCGGCCGTTCCTGCATGAGTTCCTCACTTCAGCTCACCAGAACTACGACATCGTCATCTGGAGCGCCACCGGAATGCGGTGGATCGAGGAGAAGATGCGCCTCTTGGGCGTGAGCACCAATGAGAACTACAAGATTCTCTTCTATCTGGACAGCGGCGCCATGATCAGCATCTACACCGGCGACCACGGAGTGATCGACGTGAAGCCTCTGGGCGTGATTTGGGGGAAATTCAAGCAATATTCCGCCAAGAACACGATCATGTTCGATGACATTCGGCGCAATTTTCTCATGAATCCACGTTCCGGACTGCGAATTCGGCCCTTCCGTCAAGCCCACGTGAATCGCTCCACGGACAGGGAGCTCCTGAAGCTGGCTGTGTACCTCAAGGACATCGCTGAGCACTGCGAGGACTTCACGAAGTTGGATCACCGCAAGTGGGAGCATTACAAGCCGTGAAGCCAATAAATCCGCACGCAAACACACATTATCTTTCATTAATCCTTCTCAGAAGTACCAGAGATCCTCATTTCGACCGCCAACACGTCCAAAACGACGTTCCAGAGATTCCTGGACAAACTAAAGGCATCAAATCGGAATCCTCGAAGCGCTTCAAAATTGCCGCTGTTTCCGTATTTTCACCTGATCCATTTGGAACTCTCCGCCTATGTTGCCCCCGGGAATCCCGAATCGCTGGAGTCCTGCGGTCCAGGAGTTCCTGTTTTCCTGGCAAATAAAAAAACCAGCAAACGAATTATATTTGGCGAAGCTTTCCCTCTTCCCCGTCTGGCGGCGCTGCGTCGGTCGATGAGGCCGAGCGCGTCTCGTCGATTTGTCATCGACTGGTTTTGTCGTGGTGTTCGCGGTGGAAAAAAAAGTCAGTCGGAAATCGGCCGCGTCCGCAAAGGCAGCAGAAAAGTTCCGCGATAGTTTTGGGTGCGGTTCCGCTGTGCAGAAATGCTGAAGTTTATCCGTGGGAAGGGGCAGCAGGTGTCCGTGGAGCGCCAGAGGCTGCAGAAGGAGTTGTTCGCGTACCGCAAGACGGTGCAGCATGGCTTTCCGCACAAGCCCTCCGCCCTGGCGTACGACGAGAGGCACCGCCTGATGGCCATCGGCACGCACTCGGGCTCCATCAAGGTGTTCGGGCGGCCGGGCGTGGAGTTCTACGGCCAGCACGCCGCCGCGGCGTCGCCGGGCGCCGCGGGGGCGCAGGAGTGCGCCGTGCAGCTGCTGGAGTGGGTGCCGGGCACGGGGCGCCTCCTGTCGCTCACCACGGCCAACCAGCTGGTGTTCTGGGAGCCCGCCGGCGCCATGCTGGTGCCGCTGAAGACCTTCTCGCTGGACGGCAAGCTGAAGAAGGTGTCGTCGCTGTGCTGCTCGCTGGACAAGGACGTGGTGTTCATCGGCACGGAGGGCGGCAACGTGTACCAGTTCGATCTGGAGAGCTTCAGCATCCGCGAGCCCATCATCTACCACGACGTGGTGCTGGAGCAAGTGCCTTCCACGTACAAACTCAACCCCGGCGCCATCGAGTGCCTCCGCCAGCTGCCCACGGACGCCACCAAGCTCCTCATCACCTACAACCGCGGCCTGTGCGTGCTCTGGGACCTCACCAGCGGCGCCGTCGTGCGCTCCTTCGTCGCCCCCGGCCACGGCCAGAGCGTGGGCATCCACGTGTCCTCGGACGGCGAGCACTTCACGTGGTATCACGCCGACGGCTCGTACGCGCGCTGGCGCATCGCGGACGCCGGCGTGCCAGACAACGAGAACTACGTGCCTTACGGCCCGGATCCCTGCAAGTCCATCAACCGGCTGGTGTCCGGGCGACGCGCCGGCAAGGACCTCGTGGTGTTCTCCGGCGGCATGCCGCGCTCCGCGTACGGCGACCATCACTGCGTGTCCGTGCACTGCGCGGACGGCGCCAAAGTCGCCCTGGACTTCACGTCCAAGGTCGTGGACTTCTTCGTCACGTTCGGCGACGAGCAGGAGGCGCAGGTGCTGATTGTGCTGCTGGAGGAGGAGCTGGCGGCGTACGACTTGACGGATCCCAAAGTGCCTGTCGTGAAGACACCTTATATGCATTCCATTCACGCCTCCGCCGTGACATGCAACCACCTCGTCTCCCAGGTGAGCCACACTTTCGCTCTTCTTCCTGCCCTTCCGCGGGCACCTGTTGCGCGTGCATCGCGTGCGGGGCGCTCCCACGGGGGTGTGTTTTGACTCACCCGAGAGATTCTTGACCTCCTTCGGCAGGGTTAACGGCACTCGGCCAGAAACCTCAGACGTGCAGAGGCGGCGAGAGTCTTGTTTCTTTGCGTTTACGCACGCCGCATTGCTGTCAATAATTCAGGAACTCGTTTATCCACACAGAGAGTCAATTTCGTCTGGCCAAGAATAATCTTCGATCTCATTTTTTATTCTCAACTTATTCACTGTATTTTTGCTTGGGAATTAGTGAAGAAATTTCTTTATTTTTTTAGTTTGGATTGGGAGAAAATTTAGATTCATTTCTTAACATGTTTTCACACTGCAAAAGACTTGATTTTATGACAATTTAATATTCAATGTTAATCTTTAATCCTTTAGTAAACTTGAAGTTATCGACATTTATCGGCACTTTTTGATACGAACTTCGTACAATTTCTTATCTTTTGACCCAATTTTTGTGGGAAAAATAGTGAAAACCAACAATTTAAGAATTAATTTATCCCTTTGAGTCCTATTTTTTCTCCTAAAATTCTGCTAGAAAGAAGATTTCACTTATTTCGTATCGATAAGTGTCGGTAATTGTCGAAAACTTCAATCAGTTTAACGTGAAAAGGAGCATTTTACGAAGAATTTGCCTTTGCTGTCTTTGAATTCAATTAATTCAAAGTCAAAGTTTGGGTTTTCTAAGTCTTAAGAGGTGTTTTTGTCCCAGAAATGATTCAGATTGAGTCTCGACGCCGCAAAGAATGACGTCAGTTTAGGGAAATGACGCGTTTAATTGTGAGAGAAATGAATGCAAAGCGAGTGAAATTATGCACGTCGCGCCGAAATGAGTCACTTCTCGTGCTTCTTGTTGAAACACCTTCGCGAGAAATTGAGTAAGACAGTGTTTAAGGTGCAATAATCGGTGTGAAAATACATAAAACATGAGAGACCCACTGAAAAAAAAACAGTACGCTAGAGATCATATCAATGCTTCTCTTTTCTCATGTCTAATATTTGATTTGAAGCATGTTTTCCTGCATAGCAAACACCGCGATGACTAATATCGATTGATTGGCGCGGAGTTGGAATTAAAGGAGAAGAAGAAAAAAAAGGTGTAAAATTCACCAATAATTGTCTGGTGTTTCCATATAAATTACATCAAAAGACGATCGATATGTCTCCATTTTGTGTTCCGCAAGCAGAAAATTGATGATAAGATTAGGACAGATATAATTTTGGGTGCGTCAATTCAGTGCATGAGTTTGCTTGATGAAGAGAAGTGTAGGAGTGAATATATGTTTAAGGTCAAAAATCTCGCGCAATTCACAGAAGAAGCGCCAAAGAAGACTCTGCACTTTTTCTTCCTCTCTTGTCGCGCGCGATAAAACGCATCGCGCGTATCGTAAAGAATAAATATTGGGAATTTATGGAAATGTTCAGAAAGAGAGAAGTGAAGGGAAGGGCTTGAAATGTGTGAGCAAATGAAGAAAAGGCGACGAAGAATCAATCGAGGGGAATCAATGACCACAAATATTGGCTGATAAGGTGCGTTTTTTTATCTGGGCTTCGCGTCTTCCATCAACTTGCGTTGACGAGTGTTGTTTGAATGTTGATTAAATGTGTTGCTGAAGAACTTGTTCGCTTCATTCTTATCACTTGAGGAATTCTTTAGCCCTATAAATGTTTTATTTATCTTTAGTTTTTTTTTCTTGGTGAATTTTACAGTTTTATTGGGAGAAATCAAAATATTCAGTGAATGTTTGATTTGGAAACACACTCGATTTAACACCTTAGCGAACATAAAATGCTAAGAACTCAAAGTAGAGATTTAAAAAGCTAATTTTTGCGCTTACTTTCGCTAAGATCTTAGCAATTCGGCTGATGCACTAGCGAATTAGCGGCGATCAGTCAATAGATGTCGCTTCATGTGAAACCACGCCATTTCAATAATATACTTCATGATAAAAACACTCAAGTTAATTGTATAGAGAAAGCCGTGCAAATAACCTCAAAATTGAATGAAATTTAATGATCTCAAGCCTTTTAGTCCATAGAAACTGGATTTCCTGTTTTCTTTCTAAGGTCTGATCAGGAAAAAATTATAAATTTTGCAAAATATTCAGAGAGAAACAGCAGAAAAGTTCAGGAATATTGCTAAGAAAATTGATGAAAGATCAGCTAAGTGAAGCAAAATAAAAATTTAGCTGAATATTTTGCTTGAAATTGCTGCATTTGTAACTTTTGAAGCTGCTAAAATTTTAGCTCAGTCTTTTTAGCACTTTTCAGCTAAAATAGTTGATTTTTTTTTCACACTGGGATCTTCGTGGAGAATTGAACTCTTCTGTCGATTCAGTGTGTATTTCCTGGGGATTTGTTTTACTTTCAAATGGCTTTTCCACTATCTGATGCTGATAAGGAAACTGTTGACTTAATGAATGGTTTTTGAGAATAAATCAAACAATTCGTTGGCTTTATTATTCAATGGCGTTTCACGATTATTAATTCAATTTGTATTGGCTGAAAATGCATTTAGAGAGGCAAATTTTTGGTCTCTTTTGATGAAGTAAAATTTATGTTACACTTAATTAAAAATTTCAACATCAAAATTGTATTCAAAAATGATCAAAATGTAAATTCTAACTTCGCTCAAAAGGTGAGCAAAAAAAATTGGTGACTGTTTAAGAAATGACTTGATTGCTAAATTATCAGGTTTCTTCAGAAGAAACACAGAAAAGAAACGAAATCAACCTATGAAATTGACTTCCTGTTGAGCAAGAAATATTTTGGGTAGATTTTTGTGCAAAGTTAGAGGAATTCTTCAATCGAAGCACCTTTTTTTTTTGGAAACCCACCCAATTTTTTGGTGTTTTGTAATCTTATCAGACAGAGTTTTTTACTTCTTCTTCTGCTCTCCCTGATTGCTCGAAAATCCACCACAAAAGTATGTTATCTGTCGTAATTTTTCCACTATGTTTGTGAGTGTGAACAAGAGTAAATACAGGAGAGAGAAGTTATGTTGAAATTAATACCATTTTTCGAGCACCTCTTGAGCAATACTTCTGTTTGGGAAGGTGGAAAATAAACGGAGATTGATTAGAGGAAATTTCCACTTTTCTCTCCGCTTCATTGAATGCAATTTGTGGATTTTGTGGGTGTTTTGCAGATAGTTAAATTGCGTAAATGTCGAAATTGGGTTAAGATTTTAAAGTAATGTTTGTCTTGAGTCAATATTTGATGGGTGTTTAACATTATTTGCCCTTAATTGGAACTGAAAATATTTGCCAAAAGCTCCCTAAAACCCATCATTAAGTGTTTGTGTGTGTTTCTTTTTGGGGTCTTTTGCAATTTCAGTGAGTATTATTTGACTCTCTTTTGCAGGTAATATTTTTGCACTGGAAACAATTAAACACATTTGCAAGAATTTTCTGACAAAAGAGATTTTATTCAACACTAAAATAAATTACATTTTATTGCCAGCTGAATAGAGAAATGCTCAATAAAGAAAGAAGTCAAGGAGTTGAGAGGAAAATTCTCACATGTTAAGACATAGAATTTGACCGACTAAAATGTAAATCTAAGACACAAAATTTCATCAGTGTGAATTTAATTAATCATTGTCTTGTGCCGCTCTTGCTCGGCCGTCATTCTTCCACTTCTCCAAAGGTTGAAACAGTGGAAGTTAAACACTGACTCGTGCTCATGTTGGCTCATATATTTATGTTGAGTTCACACAATGGTTTTTCTGAGAGATCTCAAGATTTGCCCTTATGATCTGTGTTTGGATCTGTTTGTGGCTTCTGGCGCTGCAAGAAATGAAAAGAATTCTTCTTAGGCAGTGGAAATTGCAGAAATCTTTACTCGATTGAGAGATTTTCTTGACAATTTTCTCTGAGATTCCCAGAATATTCGGCGATGACTAATAATTCCTCAATTTGCATAGATTTGATTGTGTCATCGCGTCTCGGTTTGTAGTTAATCATACTTCTCTTACTCCGCCTCGTCATTCAATTCCGCGATCGGGTTTAAACTCTAGCGTTGGAGATCAACGACCACAAATACCGCGCGAATACGTTCAATTTTTCCTCTACCCAAAAAACATCTCTCGATGGCCAACAGACACAAAAAACGTTCATCTGTTTCACTTCTAAGACAGCGAACAAGAGTCACGTTTTACAAAGCAATGAGAAGGTTCGTAGGAGAAAGCGGGGGATTTTGGAGGAGAATTCTTTTCGATCCTTTGAATTCTGCCTTGAAAATCAAAGATTTTTCATTTCACGGCATTTTGTGCAAAGCTGCCCCACTTTGGGGCTGTTTTGGAGCAAATTCTGACTACAATTTTTCAGTTATTCTTAGAGTTTAAGCAGAAAGGAATGACAAAGAAAGCTTTTTAATAACTTAAGAATATTTCATGGCAAATTCCTTATTGTAGCACAAACATTTTAGCAGAGACACCTTTGATCGAAAATTCTTTTTCTTCCTTTCTCGCAATGAATGATAATAATAAGATAAAAAAACAGCGAGCTATCAAATTTTTAAAGCACTATAATGATTGATAATACACCATTATAGTTCAATTCTGTGTTAGAAAAAGGCGCTGTACGAAGCTGCCCCAATTTAGGGTTTTTTGGACACTTTAGGCACATTTAGACTGCATTTTTTAATAATTCTTAGAGCATAATTCAAAAGGAAATGATAAAAAAAAAAGCCCAAAAATAGCTGAAGAATATTAAATGGTCAATTTATTATTATTGTAGCAAAGACACCTCCTTAGCAGAGACACATTTGAAGAAAATTAATTTTCTTCCATTCTTGCAAGACAATAATAAAATTAAAACATCAAGCTATCAAACTGTATAAGCGCAATAATAACTCGTATCTTGAATAATAAACGCGATTTTTGTATTTTACTTCTGTCCAATTCTGCCCCGCCTTTCCTTATATAATAATAAACGTCACTGGGTGAGTTTTGAGAGAAAAAAAAGGGAGATTTTGTCGTGCAATAAATGCTTAATAGTAAATTACACTTGATTTCCCACAATTACAGAATCATCCTGAAATGCGTACAACAAACATTTCAATATCATAATCAATTTTTCTATTGTTACAATGTTTTTCTTCAGAATTTACTATTTATTATTGTATTCTCAGTGGTTTTGTGTCGTGGTTTTTTTCCCTCTTCTTTTCTTTCTTGCCATTTCGCACTGAATGACTCGATTGTGTTGAATTCCACTCAATGAGCGCTAAGTTGCAGTATAAATATTTCCATTTCTCACAATATATAGAGGAAGTTGATATTACTCATAATTTTCACTCTATTTTCGCCTTTTATGACTACAAATTTTGTCATCACTTCCTTAATGACTTCTTGGGAGGGAAAAATTGATTTTTTATTGGGAGGGAAAATTCCTCAAAGACCCCCAGAAAAATGGTATAAATGGAAAATTTGTGGCGAAAAAAAAGACACTCTATTTATGAGTAGGGCTCAACATCTTATCTCTCGGCACTTGTTATCAGGCCAGGTTACACATCATTTTGATTGCAATGCACACAGTTGGGAATTGTGCGAGAATCGCGCAGGATAAGATAGGCGGGCAGAATGTGTGTGTGTTTGAGTGTGTGAAGATATGTGAAAATATGATATTTTGTTATTAAAATGGGTAACATTGCGTCGTGAGTCAGAAACGCGGCTGTTATCACAAAACAAGTGAAGGCGAGAGACCCACCCAATTACACCTGAATATTGCCTCAACTCTCTCTGCGATGCGTTATCTGCAATTTGGGGGGATTTGGCGTCGTTATTATTTGAATTTTGACAGTAAATTTACCAACGAATGATGACGAAATTCTTCGAAGACAATCGATTGTCATGTATTTTTAGTTGTTAATTCTAAAAGAAGGTCAGAAAACGACATGCGAAATATATGTATTAATGAAACCACAATGAAATCATATATTTATAGATATTATTAATGTTAATTTCCGAGGGAGATGTTTTCTATGTAAATTTTAGCTTTATATTGTGACAATAAAACACCCTCGCGCGCATTTGGGAAAAGCCATAAAGAGAAGAAGTGTGTCGTTTTGTCGTTTCAAGACTGTGACACACAGAAAAAGACAGCGAATGGGAATTTCTTAGCAAAATCAATATTCAAATGAACGGCGAGTGCTAACAAGTTTTTTTTTCTTACCTTTTTATACGCAAAATTGCCAGATTATTTGCTGTGTGTTGTCCAGAAATCTTACAACACTTTGTTTTTCTTTCTTTTGTATTATTTCTCTTCTCGAAACTCTTGGTTTTCTGTGTGTTTGTGAGGGAAAAAATTGCCATGAAACTATTTTATCAACTTTATTTGTGACTTAAGTGATAATTTTTCACATTCTCTGGAGCATAACGAAAGCCAATGGTTTTGCTTTTTTTCTGATGCGCATGCGTGTTTTTCTTTTATCACAACAACAATTAATATGAGGTGAATTTTCTTCAACAATATTTTTCGCGTGGCGCAAAGATAGATATTAAAGTGAGGAAAATTTTGTGTGATGATAAAAACTGGGTCGTTGTTTTGTGTTTTCGTAGAATTGAGAGAAGAAAGAGAGAATATTTGATTGGGTGGGTGTTCTTTTTATAACACTTTTGTGTTTATGCTGATGATCGTGAGGCGATGAAATAGAGATCACGAGTAATTTCTCTGGTCATGGAATCTGTCGATCACGATTTTGTCTTAGAATTCTTGCACGTTCAGACAAAACTGGGCGGAATTTAATTGCATGATCACTGAACTTTCTCTCTGGATCGACTAAAATGACATCAGAAAGGCCTAATTTCCAACGAAACTTGAGGATCAAGAGGTCCTTTTCGAGTCTAGACTAAAATACACACAATTTCAACTCAGTTAAACCTAAGATCGCTAAAGTCGAAAGAACGGTTTTAAAAACCTTAAAATCGAATATCTCTAAACCAAGACGGTGGATTTTTCTTCAATTTTAATATGTTTGAGCTGAAGTCCAGACTTTTCCGACGATATCCCACTTATGGGACCTTAAGTTTCAGGAAAGGAGATATAGAAGGTCAAAGTTCACACCTTTATCAGCCTATATCTCAGTTATTTATTTTCCAATTTTGATCATTTCTTCACCAAAAGACGTGTTTTGACGCTCTTTATTAGGTCACATCCACCATTAATCTGTGACGTTATCAAGAACGCCGCCATTTTGAATTAACTTTGAACGCCTGTATCTCGGCAAATTTGTTACGTATTTCGATAAGATTGTAGTATGTTGTAGTCTAGGTTAGAATGTCCCTAAAATAGGTCATTATTTTCCATTGATTGTTTTAGAACTAGGCTTATGACTTGCAAAACTCTATAAAACTACTTAGAAACAACTGAAATTCAAGGTTTTTTGAAGATTTCTTTAAATACCGTAGAATTAAGATTGAACTGCTTTTGCTTTATCTCGTTATTTCCTCTGATTTCAGGTGTCAGCTGAGGTTTATGAGAAGATCATCATTGCTAGGCAGCAGCAGCAGCAGGCGAACAGCCTGATTGAGTGGCCAGTGAGTGGAGGACGCTTGCAGGAGCGATTCAAGGAGAGTGGCGAGGTGACGGAGTACGATATATTGCTGACGGGCCACGAAGATGGCTCGGTGAGATTCTGGAATTGCAGTGATGTGATTCTCACGCCGATCCTGAACTTCAAGACGGCGCCGCTGTTTGGCCACGGCGAGCCTGAGGCGGAGCATGGCCAGGAGAATTCAGAGCCACTGGACGATTCTGAGCCGCCATTCAGGAAGGCGGGCAATTTTGATCCCTACTCAGACGATCCACGCTTGGCGGTGAAGAAGGTGGCGCTGTGCCCCAAGACGGGCACTCTGGTGGTGGCCGGAACGGCGGGACACATTGTGGTGGCGAGCTTTGACATCCTGCAATCCGAGGTGCCGCTGAAGGTGACGACGATGAATCTGGTGAGCGATCGCGACGGATTCGTGTGGAAGGGACACGATCAGCTGAATGTGCGCCAGCAGCTGCTGGACGACACGTACACCACGGACGAGGGGATTCAGGTGGTGAGTGTGCTGCAGGTGCTGCCGCCGGCGGGCATCACCGCCGTGGCGCTGGAGTCGTCGTGGAATCTCGTGGCGGCGGGAACGGGGCACGGACTCGTGCTGTTCGACTACTTCAATCAGCGTCCGGTGTTGCACAAGTGCACACTCAATCCCAATGACTTGAGTGGCGCCGGTGAGACGTTGTCCAGGAAGAAGTCTTTCAAGAAGACGCTCAGGGAGTCCTTCAGGCGTCTGCGTCGCGGACGCTCCACCAGGAACAACCCAGCGGCCGCCGCTGCTGGCCAGACCACCACCAGTCCCATCCTGGAGACGCGTCCCATTGAGCGACAGGTGGAGGCGCGTCCGGTGGACGACGGCATGGGCTCGATGGTGCGCTGTCTGGCCTTCGCGCAGACCTACATCACAAATGTCCACTCCACCGTGCCCACTCTCTGGTCCGCCACCAATTCCAGCTGCGTGTCCGTCTTCGTCGTCCACTTGCCGCCCAAGTCGGACGAGGAATTGCCGCCGGAGCAGCGCAAGTCCGTGACGGGGCAGCTGGCGAAGGAGATTCAGCTGAAGCATCGGGCGCCTGTGGTGGGAATCGCCGTGGTGGATCACAATGGTGTGCCGCTGGACTTCCCGGGCGCCGGCATGGCGCCGCATCGGGTGCTAATTGCGTCCGAGGAGCAGTTCAAGGTCTTCTCCCTGCCGCAGCTGAAGCCAGTGACCAAGTACAAGTTGACGGCGCACGAGGGCGCTCGTGTGAGGCGCATGTCCTTCGGGCTGTTCTCGTGTCCGGCGCCAGTTGATGCCGCCAGTCCGGCGAGAGGAGCAGGACGAGCTCAGGCTGAGGATCAGACGGATGAGAAGAAGAGGTGAGTAAATTCAGGAAATTCTCTAAGAAAAATGGGGGAAAAATACTCAGAAGATGGTATTGTCAAAGCCAATTTTACATCCTTTTTTCCGCCATTTTGAAAACCAATAAAAGACATTTTCCTCATTTACTCAGGCTCTATGGCATGGATTGATCCCAAATTTCAGTATGTTGTAGTTGACCTCAAGATCTTTCCAATGGACCTCTACTTTAGGTTCTAGGTTCGTCAGGAGCCTAAATTTTAGGAAGCAAAGGTGACTTGATACTAATTCTTGGACTCTTTCTCTCTGGACAGATACACGGAAGTTGGGCTGCTGTGTCTGACGAATCTGGGCGATTGTCTGGTGCTGTCCGTGCCGGAGCTGAAGAGACAACTGAATGCGGCCGCTGTGCGTCGCGAGGACATCAATGGCATCTCCTCGCTGTGCTTCACCAATCACGGCGAGGCTCTCTACATGATGTCCTCGTCGGAGATTCAGCGCGTCACGCTGTCGTCGGCGAAGATGATCTGTCCGGAGGGCGTGATTGATCTGGAGCCGTACGTGGGCTCCGAGGAGTTGGACACGACGCCAGTGGTGGTGGCGGACGAGGAGGAGGTGAAGAGTGACTTGAATGCTTCCCTGGGCGCCAGCAGTGACGCCCATCACGCCGAGGGTCTGACCAATGGCTCGCTGGAGGGCAACAATCGCGCCAATGAGACCATCAGCAGCTCCATGGGCGACATCACAGTGGATTCGGTGCGGGATCACCTCAACAGCACCACCACGACGCTCTGCTCCACCACCACGGAGGAGATTGTGGGACGCGTGAGTGTGCTGACGACGCGCACCAGTGACAAAGTCACGTCGGCCACCATCAAGGACTTGGACAACCTCAACTCCCTCAATCTCAAGGATCTCTCGCCGATTGGGGACACCACAGAATCTAACACCACGTCCGTGGTGGTGAAGTCCGTCATCACGTCGATATCGCACGGCGGCACGAACGGCGAGCCGGAAACCGTCACCACCACAACGTCCTCCACCACCAGGAAGGAGAGCCAGTTCTAGGCGCGGCCACGGCGTGAATAAGGTGAGAAAAGCGCCATTTTCCAAAGTTTTATTTTGCTTTCTCACCTTCAACGCTTACTTCGATCATTTAACGTTATTTGATTGACCTGAAGTTTGGCACAAATTGAAACTTTTGTGTAATTTTGGACATTTCGAATGACATTTTGGAAATTGATGAAATTTTTAGTAACATTTGTCATATTTTTCATGAAAAATTGCCTTTTAAATGGAGAAATTAATTTCTATTGACTTGCTTTCAACAGTAATTAGTTAAAGGTTTTGAAATTTTAAAAACTTATGTGAAATTTTTTTATATTTGTCATATTTTTCATGAAAAATTCCGTTTTTCACACAGAAAAAAAATTTCTTTTCATCTCCATTGCAATAGTTAGGAAAAGCCTCTGAAATTTATAAAATTTTCCTGCTTTTGTCATATTTTGTATTAAAAAATTACTTTTTTCACTATTTCTATTTGATTTTAATTTAAATAAAAATATCTTTTACCGTCTTTTTCACAGTGCAAACAACTTCCGCAGTATTAGGAGAAGAGCGAGAGAAAGAGAGAAATCACCAGACGGAGTTGGTCTCCTATTCAGGACAGTTTATCCTTCAATGTGTCGTATTTTTTCACATTTATAACACACACACAACAACTTACTTAGAATGTAATTTTTTTTAATGTTTAGTGACGGAGAAATGAGATGTTAATGTTTAGAAATTAATCGTAATGAAACATTGCCTTATAAAATATCTATATATATTCCTTTCGAGAAGAGAGAAACAGGATGAAAAAATATCACTAAGGATCCTTTTTTTATATAAGAAATATATCCCCCAATTAATGCTTAAGGATGTTTCAGAAATGGACCTAAAAAAAAGAAATACAAAAAACTATACTTTTCGATGAATTTATCAATGATGAATTTTTGGAGATGATAGAATTTTTATGTAATGTTAGTAAGTGCGAAGATTCCATCTATATAATGTATTGCATTTTCGTTTTTAAAATATATTTTCTTGAAATATTGATTGTAATCTAAAAGTGTTTCTATTCACTTGACGCGCACTGTTGACTTTCGACCAGTTTTCGAATGTGGAAACCCGCCAACGGCGTCGACCACCTTTTTCGGCTGTCAATCTGTCAAACTGAACCGAGAAATCTCAGGGGCGCTCGTGTGTCTGCGCGACGGAGACAGGGAATCGCAGCTGGGGGCGAGGAAAAGTGCTGAGAATCGCTGTGATAGCAGCCCAGGAGTGATCAATGTGAGGCGCTGATGCTGAGTGAGTGACATTTCATTGGTGTGCAGAGGAGTTTTTCCACCGGAGAAAAGTGCGCAATTGACGTGTGTGTGTGGCTTTTTCACAAGTGGGCGCTTTTCGCGAGACTCCCGCGGGGGGGAGAGAGTCAATTCCGGGTGCGTGAGTGAGTGTGTGTGGGGCCGGCGTGGCGCCACTGTCGCGGGGACTCCCGCAGGGTAGTTTTCCGGGGGGGGGTGAGAGAGACACTGAGTGTGTGAGTGAGGAGAATGGTGGCGTGGAGCAACTCGCGGCTGGTGCGGATCCTGCTGGTGGGGGATCAGGGCGTGGGCAAGACGTCACTCATCCTGTCGCTGGTGAGTGAGGAGTTCCCCGAGGATGTGCCCGCCAAGGCGGAGGAGATCACCATTCCGGCCGACGTGACGCCCGAACAGGTGCCCACGAACATCGTGGACTACTCAGGTGAGTCCGCACGTGCTTCCCTCTCTCCCTGCACGGTCGCCTGACGCCGCCCGCCCTCTTGCAGCCGCCGAGCAGGCAGACGACGCGCTGACGGAGGAGATCGCGCGCGCTTCCGTGGTGTGCATCGTGTACTCGGTCGAGGACGACAGCACCATCGAGCGCATCGCGTCGCACTGGCTGCCGCTCATCCGCGACAGCATGCCCATGGATCAGCGCAAGCCGGTGGTGCTGGTGGGCAACAAGGTGGACCTGGTGGACTTCTCCACCATCGACGTGAGTTCCCCGCGCGCCTGTCTTACGTAACACACGCTGAAAGTCTTCTTTTCCGCCCTTCAGCAAGTGCTCTCGATCATGGAGGAGTATCCGGAGGTGGAGAGCTGCGTGGAGTGCTCCGCCAAGACGCTGCAGAACATCTCCGAGATGTTCTACTACGCACAGAAGGCCGTGCTGCATCCCACGGCGCCGCTGTACAGCACAGAGGAGCAAGACGTGAGTTGAAAAACCATTTCTTATTTCGCAATTCCGCGTTGGTCTTGCAAGAACCATCGCAAGAACAGCGTCTTTCCCTTGCTCACAATTAATCTCCATTACATATTCTGCAGCTGAATTATTGCACACACATTAGAATTGGTAGAAAATGTAATTTTGCACGCACTTCAAGTGGCTTTTCCCGCATTTTCTGATGCACCAGAAAATCTTGGATACAATCCAAGGAAAGTCTTCACTTCAGAAGCCTTCTTCTTCCTCACACGATGTAATTAATTTCTCACAGTGGCGTAGTCACACGAAGGGGGCGAAGAAGCAGCGTTTCTCACTGTTCACAGATTCTTCTTTATTGTCCTTTGTGTGAAAAATGTGTAAAAATGAGAGAAACTCCACATATTTGGCTAAATTTCTATCGAAAAGTACGTCAAAACGCCATCTGGCGGAAGTGGTGTGTTCCACAGAGTTGTAGGCCGTCTTTTGCCTATTGCAAAACGTCAATTTTCATGAAAATCTGACGAAAAACGGGGTCACTATGAATGTTTTTACTGCAAAATGCATAGAAAAGCCCTACAAATTAGGTGAAACTGAACTCTGACACGAATGAAATGGTCTAGAGAGTTGTAGGTCAGCTTTTCTTGTTTCCAAACCGCCATTGCTCTTTAGGATTCACCGGAAGATGGCGGTACTTTCAGTGTTTTTTAGTGCAAATGCACTAAACCAAAACTTATTGTAAAAATTAGTCATTAAGACTATTTGAGAGTCATTTTTCGATTTTGTCATGTTCAAGAAAGTTGTAGGCCATCGAGTGACCTTTCTAAATCCGTACCGATTTTAGCAATCGGATGAGAACCTTGGAAAATATGCAGTGGAAAACAAAACTTTTCAAAATGGACACTTTCCAAAATTTAACTATTTTTACACTCTAATTTTACGTAGTAAAAAAAATACCGACATCCGTTTTTTACCGTCTAAGAAATACTGTAAAGAAGCTAAAATGTTTTACGCGTTTTATGTGTGCAGAATTTGCATTGCATAACATTTCAAGTAACACTGAAGCGAATTTCTCATTAGCCTGTTTAATAGTCTCTGAAGTGTTAATTTTCTTATCGTCTGCATCGCCTCTGCAGCTGACGAATGAGTGCAAGAAGGCGCTGGTGCGGATCTTCAAGGTGTGCGACATCGACGGCGACGGACTGCTCAACGACTACGAGCTCAATCACTTCCAGCGGCGCTGCTTCAATGCGCCGCTGCAGCCGCAGGTGCTGGACGAGGTGAAGGCGGTGCTGATCAAGAACATCCCCGACGGCATCCGCCACGACGCCGTGACGCTCAAGGGCTTCCTCTTCCTGCACTGCCTCTTCATCCAGCGCGGCCGCAACGAGACCACGTGGGCCGTGCTGCGCCGCTTCGGCTACAACGAGCACCTGCAGATGTCCGGTGAGTACTTGCATCCGGCGGTGAAGGTGCCGCCGGGCAGCAGCACGGAGCTGTCGCACCGCGGCCAGCAGTTCCTCACGGCGCTGTTCGAGCGCAGCGATCGCGACGGCGACGGCGCGCTGTCGCCAGAGGAGTTCCGGAACTTGTTCAGCGCCTGCCCAAGTCCGCCGTGGATGTCGGACATCAAGTGGACGGTGTCGACCAACGAGAACGGCCATTTGACGCTGCACGGCTGGATCTCGCGATGGGCGCTGATGACGCTCGTCGATCTGCCCAAGACGCTGGAGTATCTCGCGTGGCTGGGCTTCAATGTGCACGAGAATGAGTCACAGCTGTCGGCCATCCACGTGACGCGCGAGCGGCGACTGGACTTTGCCAAGAAGCAGAGCAGCCGATCGGTTTACGTGTGCCACGTGATTGGGCAGAAGGGCGCCGGCAAGACGGCGCTCTGTCGTGCCTTCATCTACGATGACATGAAGGTGAGTTGGCGTCCGGTTAAGGACCTTCCTGACCCTTGATTTTATGCCATAATTCCGGCTTTAATTATATGATTTGAATGATTTTTAGTCCAATTTGAAAAATCGGGTTTCCATCGAAAATTTCATGCTTTTCGGCGTGAAACTAATAAAAAGTCATTTTATTCATCATTTACGCCGTACATTTTTGCTTCCAAAATCGTCTCAAATTGCAAACATTCGCATGAAAAGCTTCTTTGAGAATTAATTTTAGATTTTTAGAATTTTCCTCTTAATATTTGTTAGACTTTGACTGAATCTTTCTCATATCTTTTCATTTTTTCACGTAAAATGTTCACGCAAATCAACTTTGGGATGTAATATTTTCAGTTCTTCGAGTTTTTCTATTAATTTTGCCAAGAATTCCAAGAAATATAAAAAAAAACAACTAGAATATTAACAAAGTAATTTTTTCAGAGCAATAATAGCGCTTAAATCGCTTAAATGAATGATTAGAAAGTGTTTTGGAAGTAAATTTGGCGAATTTCGAAGCAAAATTAACGTTCAAATTTCAATTCAATCTCTTGAAAAATTGTGTTTCTGACTTTTTTCATAGTTTTCGATTGACCTCTGCCGATATGTTTGATATTTTATCCACTTTTTAATGTGTTTTAAAAATCCGAATCAAATATAGTTTCCAATTTCCCATTTTTAATATGATTTTAAGCGAAAATGGGCCTAATTAGTCCCAGACTGTCGATTTTACCCATTTTTCCCCTGAAATTGTGTTGGAAAAGGCCAAATTTCCACCTCTTCTTGCCTCTTTTGCAGAAGATCAGTGAGAAGGACCTGCGCGGCGGCGTTCAGCACTGCATCAATGTTGTGCAGGTTTATGGGCAGGAGAAGCATCTGGTGCTGCGCGACATCGATGTGAGGCAGGCACTGGATCCGCTCCAGCCGAATGAGGTTCACTGTGATGTTTCCTGTCTAGTCTATGATATTAGCAATCCCAACTCGTTCGAGTACATCGCCCGGATCTACATCAAGTACTTTGCCGAGAGCAAAATACCCGTCTTGATTGTCGGCACGAAGGGTGACCTCCTGGAAGTGCCTCAGAATTATCTGCTGCAGCCCACGGAGTTCTGCAGCAAGTACAAAATATTGCCACCGCAAATCTTCAGTCTGAGGGACAATAAGAAGGATCTCTTCACCAAATTGGCCACAATGGCGGCTTTTCCGTGAGTATTTTCTTTTCTTTGTTCTTTTTCTGGGGGTTTTTTTGCGATGGGAAATTGAACATTAATCCACTTTTAGAGGATAATATATTTGTAAAGAGGGAGAAAAGTGGGACATTTGAAGCACTCTTTCTCTAACGTTATTATTGTATTTATCTTCTTGATCACACGCACACTCGTTCGGGGGAAAAAAACAATATGTTTTGTATGATGAAAATGTATTTAAATATCTACGAAAACAAAAAACAGTCGCTTCCAAGCGGCTTGGATCCTCTTTTACAAGCACAGGTTGGTACAGCTGTGGGAGACCACGTAAGTTCAGCTTCAATTAACTATTTGTGCAAAATAATAATTAATAATGCTGCGAGCAAAATCAGTAATTTCTCTCTTTTTATTTTGATTCTTTTCTTCCTTTGAGTTTGAAGAGTCGAAAAATCGCACGCGAAATCCACACATTAAAGGATTTTTCTTTTTAACAGAGCTTTGCATTAAAACTCACAAATTAATATAAGTTTTCTTTGTACATCCTGTGTAAATAATCATGCGAAATAATTGATGTTTGTGTTAAAAAAAAAAACATTATTTGACAGAAAATGCTTGAAAAATTGATCTAATGTCATTTCTCGGCTGCTTTCGTAACAATTCGGACGATTCGGACAATAAATTAACGTCAAAATTTGAATTTTCATTTAACGTATAACTGAAAAATTTCCCATACTTTATTTAGAAGAAGAAAAATTAGCATTTCAAATGAATTCTAGTTGAGATTAATTAATATTGTAGGTAGAAAAAAAATTGATTCAGCCACAAAATCACGTAGATTTTTCACTCATTCGATTTTTTGTTTCATTTTACATTTATTTCTTTTTTTTTCCTTCAAAAAAGCTTAGCTGAAATTATGTAAAAGAAGAAGAAGAAGATGAAATTTTGATGCAAAAGTGAGTCGATGAAAAAATTTCTGTACTTTCAGTCCAATTCGACGCGTCGTGAATTTCCTTTTCATGAGTCCCAACACTCAGATGTCTTCTTGGTCCCAACCTTTCAATGTCAACAGGTTGAGAATTTCATTCAATTTCTCTCCGTTTCTTTCGTCTTTTCACACATATTTTCTTGACTTCTCTTTATTCGGCGTTTTGCACTAGATTTTTGCACTTTCGCACGATCATTTTGATTTGTTAGTCAGCACTTTTTTGGGGTTAGTTTAGTGAGTAAAAATAAATGGGAAAACTTGTAGAGAAGAGCTGGGCATTTTTGAAAATGTTTTCGGGATTATAATTGATTGTTTTGATCTCAAAATGCGGATATTTTGATTGATCAACTCTTTTTTCATTCAAACTTATGACGAAATTAAATTAATCGCAATTTCTTAAGAAAAATTAAGCCTTCTTGACTTTCTTGATAACCTTTCTTGTTTGTCTTTTCGCTAACATTTCAACTCTAGATTAGGATCAATATTTTGATGAGTGAATCGAAAAGTATGAAAAGTTCAAATTTCGTAACTTTTCAGGGGAAAAAGATGAAAATTTAAATAGTCTTCGAGATTTAAAAAAAAAAAATTGGAAATCTAACTTTTTTCATTTTAAAAATATTTTTATGAGATCTTAAATCGAGAAATTAAGAAAATTTTTTTATATTCTTATTAAAAATCAATAAACATTTTTAAAAAAACCGTAAATCTATTAAAAACTATGAAAAAATTCAACTTTTCATAGTTTTCGATTCACTTTTTGATTTTATGTCGATCAAAATCTCTTGTGAATATTTCAAAGGTTTCTTAACTAATAAAAAAAAGTTTCGCTTTAAGGATTAATTCCTTAAGCGGCAGGATTCATAAAAGCCTTGCTCTCTCCTATAATTATGTAGTAAAACTGAGTGTAAATGTTGCAGATTGTTAATGAATGTCTTGTGTTTAATTGCCAGTCTTTATTAGTAGCTTTGTTGAGATGCAAAGAATGCAGTAAAAAAAGGCAAAATGATTAATTGTGCATGAAAGAAATTCTTCGACGGTGTCAGAGAGACGCGCGAGGAATGCTTTGTATAATAATCCGGCTGAATTCACGTAGAAAAAAAATCCGCTAACAACACTTTTTGTCCAAGTGTATTTTCTCAGCACTTTTCCTCTTGCATTGTGTGATTGTTTTTGGGCGTGTGTGAATGAAGCGCCGCTTTCCATTGGGCTCTAATGGGCGTTTTCTCTCACAATCCAGACACTTGAAGCACTTCGGCCTGACGCCCGGAGATCCGCTGGTGTGGTGGAAGGCCGGCCTGGGCATCGCGGCGATCACTGTGGTCGGATGGTACGTGGTCAGGGCCTTCCAGAGGAACACGACGACCTACGGAGCGCGGTGAAGTGGAAAAACATGGAGTAAATCTTTTTTTCGCTGCGAAAGAACTGTGAAATTGTGTGTTGAATTGAGGCAGAAGACAAGAAAAAAAAATACCATTGAGATACTCTCCTGGCCAGAGTGAGGAGAATGATTAAGTAATTTGAAGTAAAAAATGCCGAAGTAGTCAGTCATTCAATGATAAAAAGAATTAGCGTAGCGTCGCGAAGAGATTGTGTCCCTTTGAAGCTTTTTCTTGAAGTATTTTTGTGAGAGAAATCTTTGAAGTCTTGTAGATTTTATCAACACTTCTCTTTTTTTTCCGAAAAATTTTTTGCGCGTTGTAAATAATATTTCTCTCCCAGAAAATAATCGTCACACAACTTCCAGACAGAAGGAAAAAAAGGCTTTTTTCATTCTCTTGGGTTTTATCGCGACACACATTCATAATGTTTCATTATTATTATTATATTTCTTTTTAAGTCAATCGATAGGAATTTGTAGTTGGAATTTAGATGAGAGAGAAAGAAAATGAAATAAAGACACAATTTGTGAGATGAATAAAACTATATTTTAATGGAGTATTGAGAATATCAACAAAATGATTGCGCCAATGTTAGTAAATCCGCTGAATGTGAATCACTTCCGCTTCTTCGTCGGATTCCACCTCAGTTGTCGATTCGTAGTAATAGTCAGATGAGCCGCTCTCTTCGTCCTCATCGTAGACTTCAACGGGACGATCGGCCTGCTGAGATAACAGAGAAAGGACGTGATAATCAATCGTCGAACACATTTTACTCAGAGTTCTAGCGTGGCAGCAGCGATTAATGCAATTATTCGTTCGGCAATTAAGATCATAGAATGCGCATGATGAAAATTCGCGATAATCGAATTTATAGTTCGTTAAAACAACACCTGAGCTAATTGTACAAATTGCGACCATTGAATTCTCTAGAATTCAAGTCTGCTTCATATCAGACGATCATAAGGTCACTTGCAACTTGTATTGGGATTGTCCCGATTGTCCGATAAATTGGCCACCAGTTGGCGCTATAAACAGAGAAGAAGATATACGCAGCCCAATTCTAAGTCCTCCGCCTCAGAAATAAATATGGCGGCGAAACAAAGTTGTTTAATCTGAAGCTATAATAGTGGCGACGATTACGAGTGAATCTCGAGTGAAAGACGCTCAGGAGGAGGAAAACTCTCAAGTGGATGAGCAGGAAGACCTGCCCAGTCAAGTGATAAGGCACAGGATGCGCTGCAAGCCTTGAAAGCCAGCTTACTAGCAAACAACGCGGCTAATAGCTGCGCAAACAGGGTGTTACTTCCACTTCAGCCAGTATCTGCTGAAGAATATCCCTGGGTGTCCTACCAGGATGCGCTAGGACATGATCCTCATAATTTAAATTTATGAAGCAGAAAAACATATTCGAAGACGAGCAAGGCAGACATTTGTGGCATATTTTAAGTGGAAGCTGTCAGGACTGGCGATGAGAAAACAAGTAACTCCATCGAGGGCTGACACAATGCTTTTGATACTTCTTTTGCAATTGCCAAGCCGTCAGTGGAAGTTTTGTTATTGACGGTCTTAAGGAAATGAGATTTTCACCCTCAATTTCGTTAAGAACGTAATGCAATTTTCACGCATTTCAACTCAATTATGAGAAAGGTTGGAGAAAGGCGAAAGTAAGCGAGGAAACTCACGTCATTCTGCAGATGAAGGTCCAATTCCACTTGCATACGGAAGTCCATGGCCATGAAGAAGGCAGTGATGAGAAGCGGAAGCGTCGTGCGACTGTTCCACGCGAGTTTCGTGAGGAACATGAATGTCTGGCCGAAGACGGAATCCATTTCTCTGCCCAGAATCTCTGCAATGATTAATAAAAGACGCTCTTGAGCCAATAGGAATATCATATATTCGTAATAAATTCATTGCAACAAAAGTGTGGGAATGTTAAGTGGCTTTTCAATCGAAGTAGTCCACGTGAGCGCCTGACGTGAATTTTCCCTCGCGCAGCACCTGGAGGAACTTCCGGGTGGTCTGTTCGCGCGTCACGAGCTTATTCTCCACGTGGAGATTCGCCATGGTGCTCTTGACTTGCTCATCCGTGGACTTTGTGCGGATCTCCGTCTGCATGTCCGTGTCCACTGGACCTGGAGAGTAGTTGAGCACCACCACGCCGGGATTCTCCGCCGCCAGGCAGCGGAAGTACATCTCGCGGGCGGCGCGAGAGCTGCAGTACAGCGACATGCTGGCGAAGGGCTCGAGAGCCGCCAAGGAAGTCACATTCACCACGATCTTCTGCGTCTCCGGGAAGCTGGCCATGAAGACGGCATTGAGAATGGCCACGGAGAAGACATTCATGGCGAAGTGCTCGCGCCACGTGGCCTGGGAGTTGTGATCGACACTCCACTTGGTCACGTCGCCCAGAGTGCCCACATTGTGGATCACCAGGGCGAACTCGAAGGACTCCTTGGCACTGTTGGCGAGAGACTTCGCCACGACAGTCTCCAGTTCCTCACGCGAAGGCTCCGTCAGATCCACCGACACCGTGACGATGGTCAGGCGATCATTCTGGGCCAAGATCTGGCGCCTGGTGTCCTCCAGGCCGGCGGCAGAGCGCGCCAGGAGGAGAACAAGAGAGCCCGGCTTCATCTCCTTGGCACACTCAATGGCCATCGTCTGGCCAATGCCCCTGGACGCCCCGGTGACGAGCAGGAAGCCCACCCGATTGAGATTCACCGCCAAAGAGGACATATTAACCTGTGTGTTCTTCTCTAGCGACTTCCGTCAGATGATTCGCCTTCGGCCTCCTTGGGCTGCTGCTGCTGCTCCTCCTCCTCACTCTCCACCTGCAGCTGATCGTGCTTCACCAGATGCACCACCTCACCCACCGACAGTGCCTGTTCCGGACGCAGAAACCTGGCAATCTCCTGCGCAGCCCGGAAATCTGTGCTATTCACTGGAGCGTCGAGATTCAGGTCAATCTCCCTGTTCGCCTGCACTCCGTCACCACAATCCACGAGTAGACTCTGCAGGCAGGCTTCGCGCTTCTCCGCCAACTGCCTCAGGACGTTGGGATCCTTCTTGATGCGCCTCAACTTGGACTCTGCAAAAACGGCAAAAATACACCCGGAATCAGTGGCATTTTCCCGGCGAGGGAAGCCAACCACCGCTCACCTAGTCTGTCGAGGTACTCCTGTGAGTCTGGAAGACGCTCACTCTTGGGCTGGAAGTTGTCTTCGAAGCCAATGTCGGCCGTGGAATCGCTTTGGAAATCGCTGCTCTTCTGAGATTCAGATTCGAGCCACGGATTCATTCTGACAACTGACCAACAGCGCCTCTATCCGCTAATGAGAGAAGCTCAGCAATGTCTCGTTTCCACCTGTTTTCCCTCAGAAATGCAATGATTATCACCAAAATTGGACTAAAGACACTCTTTGATGACTGATAAGTTATTCTTGATGGGAATTTTAGTTGAAATTCTGTGAATTCATGGAAAATTCCACACTTTTCCGAACAACCCTCCGGAATATCTCCGAAGCACGCGTTTGCAGCCAACTTCACGCACAGCGATTGACTGCGTCACTGAGACATTTAGTGGAATTTTCCTCCGGATTAGTGCGAGTGCCCAAAAATAAAAACAATCCAACAAATATTCTCACCTGCCCTCGAATTAGATGGAATATGTGAAGAATTGTGCACTAAAGTGTTAACTGTAATTGTACATAAGCAAGGACAGGTGATAGAATCGGTGTGTGAGTGAAAGCGGACGAGATAATGGCCAATGAGGCGCCGGTTGATGGGAATTTCAACATGAAAAATGAGAAACAATTCATTTGTGGCGTTGTGGAAGGTAATCCCGCTGTGAATCCCACCTTGATGGGTAGTTTCAGTGATTAATTTGTTGTATTTGCAGGCTTCTACGGGCGACCGTGGACGACGGAGCAGCGGAAGGACTTGTTTGCCAAGTGAGAAGCGCGCTTTGGCTGTTTTGTTGATCTTTTTGCCTCTAATCACGGGGAATTTCTCTCGCAGGCTGAAGAAGTGGGGCATGAACTCCTACGTGTACGCGCCGAAGGACGACTACAAGCACCGGGCGTACTGGCGGGAGCTGTACACGGTGGAGGAGGCGGATCACCTGAGCAGCCTCATCGCGGCCGCCAAGGAGCACGAGATCAACTTCTACTACGCCCTGTCGCCGGGCCTGGACATGACGTACAGCAATGCCAAGGAGACGGCCACGCTGAAGCGGAAGCTGGAGCAGGTGTCGCAGTTCGGCTGCGAAGCCTTCGCGCTGCTCTTCGACGACATCGAGCCGGAGATGACGAAGGCGGATAAGGAGGTGTTCCAGAGCTTCGCGCACGCCCAGGTGTCCGTGACGAATGAGATCTTCAACCATCTCAACTGTCCGCGCTTCCTCTTCTGCCCCACGCAGTACTGCAGCTCGCGCGCCGTGCCGTCGGTCACGCGCTCGGAGTACTTAAACACCGTGGGCGGCAAGCTGGCGCAGGACATCGAGATCCTGTGGACGGGCCCACGCGTGGTGTCCAAGTTCCTCACCGTGGAGGGCATTCAGGAGATCACGGAGGTGCTGCGCAGGCCGCCAGTCATCTGGGACAATCTCCACGCCAATGATTACTGCAGCGTGAGTATCTCATTCCCTTCCCATTCCGGGAAATCTAGGTCAATAACCCAATTCTCCTCATATCTTCTAAACTAATTATCCGATTGCCAAAAACGATATGAATTTGGAAAGGTCACTTCATGGCCTACAACTCTCTAGAACATATCGAGATCGAAATAAGTCTATTAAACAGTCTTAATGACTATTTTTTATAATAAGTTTTCGATTTGCACTAAAAACACTCAAAGCGCCGCCATTTTTCGGCGGATCCTGAAAAGTAATGGTGGTTTGGAGAGAAGATAAGCTGACCTACAACACTCTAGAACCTATTATTTGTGTCAGAGCCCAGCTTTACCTAATTTTTAGGGTTATTAGAGTTTTCTGTGCATTTTGCAGTAAAAACATTCACAAAAACTCCGTTTTTCGTCCAATTTTCAAGAAAATTGGTGTTTTGGAATGGGAAAGAGATGGCCTGCAACTGTGTAAAACAGATTACTCTCGCTAGATGGCGTTTTCGTCTGTTTTCGCTGATCTTCTAGTAACAATTCTAACTTTATTCTGCTGTTTTTCTCCCTTGCAGAAGCGCCTCTTCCTCGGGCCCTACTCTGGGCGATCGCCGAAGCTCATCCCACTGCTCAAGGGTGTCCTGACGAATCCCAATTGCGAGTATCACGCCAACGCCGTGGCCATTCACACGCTCGCGCACTGGTCCAAGTGCACAACCGAGGCCAGCATCGACAATGCAATATCGGCGGACATCAAACTAGAGACTGAGGGCGATCAGGGTGGCTTTGGCGAGGAGATGACGCCCAATTGCCTGGCCAAGAACATCTATCATCCGCGCGAGGCGCTCAAGAATGCCATCCGCGCGTGGCTGCCGGAGTTCCAGGTGGAGAAGGAGGCGTGGGGCCCCATCACGAAGCCCCATCCGCCCGTGACGATGGTCATGCCCATCATCCCCATCATCCCGTCGGTGAACACGTGCATGAGTCTCACCACGTCCACCACGGCCACTGTCACGTGCACGCAGACGATGAAGGTGCCGGAGGTGAACACGACGCAGCTGCAGGCGTTGGCCGAGGTGTGCAGCACGGTGACGGGCGGCGAGACGATTCCGCCGCTGCCCAATGTCGTGATGAATTCGCTGGTGTCGGCGAAGAAGATTGTCACGAATGACACCATCCCGAATCCCATTGTCTCGAATTTGTCCATTCCGGACAAGATTCCCGTGCCGTGCATCCAAGCGCCCATCATGGCGCTGAAGGAGAGCGTGGAGGAGGACAAGGAGAGCGACGTGGCGGCCAAGGTGCAGATCAGCGAGCCGATTGAGGTGGAGGACATCACGGAGAAGGACGACATGGTGGACAAGGTGGACGGCAAGGCGCTTCCGTCGGCGTCCGGGGCTGAGACTGAGGCCGGAACTGAGGTGATGGCCATTGCCGATGAGAATCCCTCGCCGCACAGCACAACAGAGCCAATGGAGTGTGGCAGCAGCGTGTTGTCTTCCTCGCCGAAGCAGAAGAGCTCCTCGGAAGATGTCGTGATGTCAGAGAGTGTCTCGGTAAGTCTCAGTCGGCTTCATATATTCTTAGTCAGATTGTAATGATCTTCTTACGTCCTTCCGTCTGTCTTTTCTTCCCCAGACGAGCTCCGGAAGCATGCACGTGGAGACTTCTGACGGTTCGCTCAACTCGAATGTGGATCTGGGTGAGGATGTGGCCAAGGAGCTGAGCAATGAGGATCTGAGTCTTCTCTGTGATCTGTTCTACTTGCCATTCGAGCACGGCAGCAAAGGTCTGGTGATACTCAATGAGTTCCACTGGCTGAAGACGAATGCCAGCGTGCTGCTGGGCGCGCCGAAGAAGCCCTTGACGGACGCCAGTGTGAAGCCGGAAGTGCAGGAGTGGCTGCAGCGCAGTGAGAAGTTCGCCTCGCTCTGCCAGTCAATTCTGGCGCTGGCCAAGAAGTTCAGCGTGTGCGTGAACAAGGAGCTGCTCTACGATCTCTACTCGTACGTGTGGGACATTGCGGGCATCGTGGCGCTGCTGAATGCCTTCGTCCAGTGGCTGGCGCTCGCCCACTTTCCGTCCAACATCAATTCCTACACGCAAGGCAGTTATACGTGTAAGATTCTTGGCATTTCTTCTATTTCTAGCGCTTTGGGCAGAAGATTTGAGGATTTCTTGTCTTTTCAGGGTTCAGCAAAGGATGGAAGGATACTTTTATGTCGGGCGAGCAGGAACCCTGGGTATTCCGCGGAGGATTAACGGCTGATCTTCAGGTGAGAGTCTTGAGAGCGTCGTAAATGTGGGGATTTGATGGTAAAATTCATCTTCTTCCCGCAGAGACTTCTGCCTGTGGACTCGGGCAATGATTTATTCCTGTACAAACTCCCGGACGCGCCCTCGTCGAACTTCTACACGGTGCGTCCGTACGTGTTCACGGACGAGGAGGCGGTGTACTCAATCTGCCACAAAACCTGCCGCGACGGATCGGACTGTTCGGAGCTGTTCCCGGAGAATCTGCAGGGCATTCCGGCGGATCGCCTGGTCGGGCCGTTCATCACCATCAATCCGGAGTTCTGCATGGTGATGGAGTGTGGCTCACTGGGGCTGATTGGGTACATTTGTGGCGCCCTGGACGCCAAGGTGTTCTACAAGAATCAGCAGATGTGCTGGTTGCCTGCCATGTGTCTCAAGTATCCGATTGAGCTGCTGGAGTCGCCGGAATTGACGCCCACGGCCAAGGACACGATCACACACTTTCACAACTTCAAGTACGACTGCCCGCAGGAGGTGCTCAACGGCTATCCGTCGATGATGACGTGCTGCGTGCTGAAGGAGCAACTCACGCACGATCCGTCAGTGGCCAAGAGGCTCGTCACGGTGCTTCTGGCCGCCTTTCGGTCCAACGGATCGTTCGGCGTGCACGTGTGCATCAATCGCACAGATCGCTACATGCATCAGTTCTACACCAAACTGGGCTTCGCTGAGATCCTGCAGGACAACATGCGCATCTACTTGGGCAGGAACTTCTAACTCTCTGCATTTCTTCCTCCGCCGCACTCTCAATCCGATTCGTCTCCTCTCTCTTCTCTCTTTTTTTTACGTTTTACCCCCCATTTTCACCCCCTTTTAACCCACGCATTGTGATCTTACGAGATACTATATTTAACATGTTTAATTAAATCACTACAGAAGATTAGCTCTCAGCTTCCTATCGTGTATGTCCACACACTGTCGATGCCCGCGTCGATGGTGTGCGCCGGCCGCAGGGTGGGAAAGGGGAATCTGCAGGCGACGATTGTGCACTTGTCCTGCGCCTCAGCCAGGAGTTTCCGCTCCAGCTCCTCCATCATGCAATCCACGCCGAAGATCACGATGTGACTGTACTGAGAGATGCCGAAGCGCCAGAGATCGCGCCGGAAGAACGACACATCGCGCCACACTCCCGCCCTGGCGGCGGAGAATCTCGAGTAGTGCACCAGCCACCTATTCAGCTCCACACCGTGAGACTTGTAGCCATTCTGGGCAGCGGCTGATCAAATCAAATTTGTGGGAATAAAAAGTGTAATTGTTGTCAGAAAATCCATGTTCAATTCCTGCTAACCTATGACAATTCTTCCATCGCCGGATCCTATGTCCAGCAGGAGATTCCTCGGGGGCTTTGCCACACCGCCAGCTCGCTGGAGAGCGGTGAGGACGTTTGAGATCTGGGCAGGAGTGGCTGGAACGTAAGGTAAACAGATTTTCCGGAAAGCAGGCGCCACGAAGGGAATCGAGATGCATGTTATGGCGACTCCCAAACCACCTGCAAAGCAATGATTTACCAATCACACAATCTGGAAGGGTAGAAGGACTCTTCAGCTACCTGTCACGGCCAGCAGGATCTTCCCTGACACTGAATTCGAGGACTTTTTCGCTGTTTCCCGGGACATTGCAACCAGCAATGCGAGGTTATGGCCGATCGTCCGGAAGAACTGTCAAACTGCCTGACTTTTGTGACGTAATGGTGTGTTATTTTATTTTAGGTGGCTCGCGAGAAACTCTGCGGAAAATTGGCAAAAAATCACTTTAGTTTTGCTTTTCGAGGGGTGAAAATCACACGTGTGGCCACGGGGAAGGTGCGAGCAGGGTTTTTGAGCTGAGGTGGCGCGAGATGGTGTAGCTGGTGGTGGTGAAGAGTGCTGAAAAATTGCGGGTGAAAACGCCATTGGAGGTGAGAAGCACAGGAGGAATTTGACATTTTTCCAATCGAAAAAAAGTTGGGGAGAGAGAGTTTGTGGGAAAATTGAGTTTTTCCCATCTTCCAAGGCACTGTGCTGGTGGTGTTGGTGCGGGAAAGGGTGTCTGATGATCGTGAGTGGTGGCTTGTGTGGGAAAATCAAGGGAAATTGATGTGGCAGAGGAAGAAAAGCGCCAGTGAAAATCTGCCAAGTTTGTTCCACTTTGTGGTGTTTCTCTCTCTCTCTCGCCCATTTCGCAATTGATTGAGTGGCTTTTGCTGGGATTTCGCTAATAGAATTCCCTTGGTTTTTTCCGTCTCCTGCAGGTGTGCGAGTGGGAAATTCGTGGTGGGAAAATGCAGGAAAAGTCATCACAGGAGCGTCACTAGTGCAACGCGAGAGAGCGAGAGAGAGAGTGAGAGCGATAGAGAGAGAGAGCCAGAGAGCACACCTGAGCGCCTCGCCAGAGACACAAAGAAGCGAGTGAAAGTCGGCCGAGAAGGTGAGACCCGGAAGACTCTCTGGGCCGTCCGGACGCCACGATGTGCGACATGTCGGCGGAGAAGTGGGTCTGCGAGTACTGCACGTACGCCAACTATCCCTCGGCCATCAAGTGCACGATGTGCAAAGGGCAGAAGCCGCTCCTCAGCGAGGACATCTTCCGGCTCAACCCCTCGCCGCCGCCGGCCGCCGCGCTCATCGAGTCCTCGGCGCTGAGTCTGTCCAACTCCAATCTCACCAGCGCCGCCGGCGGCCCGTCCACGGAGGCGCGCTGCAAGTGGCTGTGCGCCATGTGCACGTACCAGAACTGGCCCAGGGCGCAGCGCTGCACGCAGTGTCACACCAGGCGGGACGCCGACGTGCAGAACATGCAGGAGCAGCTGAAGGCGCTCAGCATCCGGCGCTCGGATCCCGATCTCATGGCCAGCAATCGCTCCAGTCCCTTCGGCTCCGCCACCAATCTCGCCGGCTCCAGGGCCAATCTGGCGGCGGCCCGCGTGAGTCCCAGTGAGGGGCGGCAGGCGCAAGCGCTGGCGCCCAAGTGGCTCTGCGTCAGCTGCACCTTCGAGAACTGGCCCAAGAGTCTCAAGTGCTCCATGTGCGGCCGCGGCAAGGAGCCGGCCAGCACGCCGACTGAACACGCGGCGCAGGCAACTCTGGCGCCCCCGCAAACGCCCCCCGGCGGCCTTCCCGCGTCGCCAGAGCGCGATCTCAGCGCCGAGGAGAACTGCGTGGCCACGAATGTGGTGAACAGTGGGAAGCGCGGCCAGGCGCGCTGTCTGGAGGCGGCGAACAACTGTGACGCACACCAGGAGCGGCGTCTGCGACAGCTGCGGCGGCAGGCAGACTGGAATTGGCTGAACGCGTGCATGGGCGTTGTGGAGAACAACATTGGCGCCGTGGAGACGTACTTGGCGTGCGGCGGCAATCCCGGACGCTCGCTCACGATCAACGAAGTGACGCTGCTGAATCGGAACTCGGCCTTCGATGTCGGCCACACGCTCATCCACCTCGCGATTCGCTTCCACCGCGAGGAGATGCTGCCGATGCTGCTGGCGCAGATCTCTGGCTCTGGGCCGGGCATCAAGCGGGTGCCGTCGTATGTGGCGCCAGATCTCGCGGCGGACATCCGCCGGCACTTTGCCGCCTTCCTGCGAATACGCAAAGGTGCTTTCAATTGTCACTACGTGAATGAACACGCGACTTTTGCACTGCCAGCTGACATTGAGGAGCTGCCGCTGGCCATTCAGGAGCAGCTCTTCGATGAGCTCCTCGATCGCGATGCCCAGAAGCAGCTGGAGAATCCACCGCCGGCGCTCAATTGGTCGCTGGAGATCACGGCGCGCCTCGGATCGCGACTGATGGTGCTGTGGAATCGCAGCGCCGGCGATTGCCTCCTGGATTCCGCCATGCAGGCCACATGGGGTGTCTTTGACCGCGACAACGTCCTCCGGCGCGCCCTCGCCGACAGTCTGCACCAGTGCGGACACTTGTGAGTGCCTCCAATGCCATAAATTGATGCCTTTTGACCCAGAAAATCTCTCTCTTCGACAGATTCTATCCGCGGTGGAAGGAGTACGAGATGATTCAGGCGTCACTGCTGCACTTCACACTCGCCGAGGCGCAGTGGGAGGAGGATTGGAACAGTCTGCTGTCGCTGGCCAGTCAGCCGGGCTCGTCGCTTGAGCAACTGCACATCTTCGCCCTGGCGCACATCCTCAGGCGGCCCATCATTGTCTATGGCGTGAAGTATGTGAAGAGTTTCCGGGGCGAAGACATCGGATATGCTCGATTCGAGGGTGAGTTTGGCTGCTGCGTGACCCAATTCTCTCCCTTCTCTGGCATGTCAAGGCTCCGCCGCAGTGTCGCACAGAGAGAGAGAGACAATGAGAGAGAGATTCTAGAGCGCGTGGAGAGTAATTGAGTGTTTCCTTTCGCCAGGACTCTATTTGCCATTCTTGTGGGAACAAAGCTTCTGCATTCGGTCACCCATCTCGCTGGGATACACACGTGGACACTTCAGTGCCCTCGTGCCGACTGAGCCCTACTCAAGGATCGACGGGGCGCGTGATGATGCGGAGGATGTGACATTTCTGCCTCTGATGGATTGCGAAATGAAACTCTTGCCAATTCACTTTCTCACAGAAGCTGAGGTGAGTCTCAAATGCCAGCACGTGTCCTTCCTTTCCCGCCGCCGTCTTCCACGTGTTTGGCCGTCGTGACGCGCATTTCGCGGTGGTGTTTAGAGGGTGTTTTACAGAGTGGTGGTTTGGGGGAGCATTATTAATACAGAAAGGGCATGAAAAGCTGTTGGAAACTGTGACGTAGTGAAATGTCTTTTTCCATGGAAACTAGAATTGAAGTTTGCTTTGAAAACTTTTACACAAATGCACAGGGAAATTTGAACAAATATCTATTAGATTATTTTGCTGTACATGAAATTATTTTCACTTTTAAACATAATTCCGCATTTTCTGTCAGTAGAAATTGCGATTCTGGTAGTTTTAGTGATGAAAACTAGCACTAAAGTCAAATATAACCTCAATTTTTCACTGAACGACTAACATTTTGTATTAAAAACTTCAGTTAAAAAGTTATTAGTTAGATTTGAGTTAGATTTCGGTTAGATTTCATGCTGAAAAACCCAAAAATAACCTCGTTTTGACTTCGATTAAACTTCTTACTCTACAAACAATTCATAAAGTCTAAAGTTCTGGGAATTATATTAGGGATTCTTTAATTATTAGAGATTTCTTTAAGGATACCTCCAAAGCTACGCATATTTATCCTTAATCTGCATGCAATTCAGTCTGTTTCATTGACATTTTCGCATTTTCTCACTCTCCACTTCGTGTGCGCTTACAGATGGGCCGGGAGGAGGCGATAATGCGACAGTGGCTGGATGTCTGCATGACGGAGGGTGGCCTGATGGTGGCGCAACAGCGACTCCACAAGCGTCCGCTGCTCGTGGCCCAAATGCTCGAGGAATGGCTGAATCACTATCGGAGAATTGCGTAATTATTCTTGAGCATAAATTGTTGTTTGTTCCGCAAGTGTAAAAGGCATTTCGCCTCTCTCTCTCTCTCTTTCTTCCTTGCAGGCAAGTTATTTCCGCACCATTTGCACGCCGACCACAACTTACCGGATATTTGAGTGACGGTGATACGGATGAGGAGTAGAAAATAGCTAAATTCATACGTTTCTTTTTTCGCGAATTGAATCTACTTGCGATGAATTACTTGTCGAAGGTGAATATATTGCTAATTATTGCAAATAATATTAAATGTAGTCACGAAAGGGGGAGAAAGAGAGAAAATTATATAAAAAGAGAAGAAGGAGGAGAAGATGTAAAATGTTGCAAAAGAATATCAATTTATTTGAACACCACTTAAAAGTTTTAACCAAATATTTAACAATAATCAATTTAAAGAGAAAAAAAGAAGAAAATGAGAAAGAGATGAATGGAAAAATTGAATAAACGAAATTATATATATTTAGATGATCAATTTGAAAATTGCTAAAAGAAATAAAAAAAAACTCTAGGTATTTGTAAAATAGTGATGAAAAGGAGAAACAAGTGTGGTAGGAAGTCCCGAAGAAGATCTTTACTTAATTCTTGCAATTTAATTAATTATATATTTTCAAAAGAAATAAAAAAAATGGGGTGAAAACATGATTCTTAAAAGGAATATATTATATGAAAAGGAAAAAAAACAACTACAAATTTGTGTGATAAATCATACCTTATAATGAATTATTTTAGGTGAAAAAGATAACAATTAAAAAAGAAGATTAAGAAAAAAAACATGGAAAGAGGCAAACACTGAATCCAAGATTATTAAGTTTTGTTTCTGGGTTTTTCGCTTTTAAAATTTTATGAATGGAGAGAATAAGAAATTTAAAAAAAGGAAAAATGTGAAACAGTACAAAGCGAATATTTGAGGAATGAAATGGAGAGAAAGAGAAGATCATAAAAAAACAATGTTATTGTGGGCTGTTAAAAGAAAATCAAGTGAAAGAGAAATATGCTGAGAATGAGAGAAAATCATTGAAAAATTGAAATCAATAAAGTAACTATGGAAAAAGCAGGGATGTTTCTTCTCAATTATGAGTTTCTTTTGCACACTTTTGATCACACGCTTCGCGTCTTTCGCGTTAATTCAATATGGCGGCGTTTTTCATTGCATCACAGACAAATGATGGCTTTGGCCTACTAAAATCGGTCAAACACTGCGGAATGTTGAGGGAGGATTTGATAAGACCATCTTTTTCTTACCTAATTTTGTAATTTTCGGTTTTTCTTGCTTAATTTCTGAGCCTCCTGGAATTAATCCAGCGCAAACCTCAAAAAAAGTGGTGAATTTTCGGAAGAGAGGCGGTTTCCGCGCTGTCGATCCCACACACCTGGCGTCGCCACTGTCGCTCGGCTGACAGCTGCGGCGGTGGAGAAGAAGAAGAAGAAAAGAAAAGTCGATCTCCAGTCGTTCGCGGTTTGTCTGCGAGGAAAAGTGTCTCTTTTTCGCGTGGAAATGTGTCCTTTCAACTGATATCCTAGTGATACCTGTCTTCTGCGTCCGCCAGTGGTGTTACTGAGTGCTAAAGTGTGACATTTTCCTGTCTGCGTGGTGGAGAAAAGTCGCTGAGAATTTTCCGAAATGGGTGAGTCCGCGCCCCGAATGGGAATTTCGTGTGCCATCTTCGGGTTTTTTTTTCTTCTCTTCTCTCTTCTGGTGTGAAAAACGGCGAAACAATGCCGGGCCGGGAGTTTTTCTCACACACAGAATTTCACACACAGACTTTCTGTGTAGTTTCACAAGTTAAGAATGCAACTGAGTGAGGAGGATTTGCTGGGGAATCCCCGGGGGTGAAAATGGGGCGCGCCAGGAGAATTTCCTCCATTGATTTTTCCTCCTGACATTTTGTGTGTGTTTCCACACACAAATTTGCTGCCTTTTCTTCTTGCCACGAACGCGCGCCTGAGACGGTGTTTATTCGCTAAATTTGCGTATAAATGCTAATGAATTAGAAAAGAAAATGCAGTCGGATTGGAGAATTTTCTCACACACACCGCCGAAGTGACATTGACTCGCTTTTAGAGCTCTCCAAGCACTCCTTCGCGATTTCGCTTCATTACATAATTTTCCATCAAAAATCCAACACTGTCGGACGCCTGGCGAGACTGTGTGGACTTGGGGGCGCCCGAGAGAGCCCCAAATGCCGCCTCTGCGCCACAAAGACTCTCTGGCGTGAGAAAGTGAAATTGGGCTCCACTTGAGTGTCTCTCTCTCTCTCTCTGTGTCTATGAATGGGCTAGGAAATGGGTGTGTTTTTCCTCCTCGAGACGCATCAAAAGCCTTCCCGGCTTTCTGTTCTCGCCGGAAAATGAGTGCTGATCGCGTGCAACTTCACATTCCTCATTGTCCTGGCACAGGAGAAAAGCCTCTGCGACTGGCGATTGCAGACTGTCAAGCGTCGTTCATTCATGCGCACAAGAAAACCTCCTCGAAGGGACCTTGAAGACACCAAATCCCTGAGATGATGATTCATTTTCTCACCCATCCGCAAGTGCACCAAGAAAAGCCACTCGCTTTCTTCATCGCGATTTTTTTCTCTCCCCATTTTAATTGTGCTTGTGAGGCGCGCGAGAGAAGAAAAATTGTGCAGTGAAACAGCGTTGAAAGTGTGGAAGAAGAAAAAAAACCAGTGCGATAAGACGTTGCGGTGAAAACGATAAAGACATTGTCCTAATAAGCACACCACACGGACAAGTCAAGTTTGTTGAAAATCCACGAGCTGAGGAGAGACTTTAATTTTAGCCCCGATACGAGGGTGATTGAATTGATAGCGGCGCGGCGGGGAAAGACAATTTGTCTCGAAAGGTTCGTTCAGGGTGGAATTTCACACTGTAATTCGGTCTTTACGACTCCCACGCAAGTGGACAGCTGTGAAGGAGTGTCGGTAATTGGACGGCTCGTAAGTTCTGCTGATGAGAGAAAAGTGACCGGCGATTCACAAGGACTCAGTTCTCAGTCACAATTCTGGATCAATTTTCACTAAAACTGAGAGATGTGTTATATGTGTTATAAAAAGTCTTTAGTATACTGGTTCACACACGTGAAAGGCAATTTTAAACGCCTTTTACTACGGTAGAAATCGGTTTAAAGTATGTTTTAAACATTAATTCTGTGCAAAATATTATTATTTTCTCTCTATCATTAATCGTGATTCCACTTCTGACACCAATACAAGAGAATAAATCAGGGAATTATGCAAAAATAGCCCTATTTTAGAACGACGTGTAAATTCCGTAATTGTATTATTTTAAAAAGATCTCCAGAAGTTCTTTTAATGTGTCAAAAGTAGATTGACAGATCGAATGCTACAGAATAACTTGCAAAGATGATTCAATCATGATTTATTTTTGCCTTAAATTCTTATTATCACGGATTAACTAAATATTAATTTGAATTTTATGAATTTTGGCAAATTTCTCTTTATCCCTATTCATGTAGAATGTTAAACATTTCTCAGTTTCAGAGATAATTGATCAAATATTCCATGTAACACATGTTATTTATGTTTCATTCATGTGAAAATTGTACCGCCAGAGGGTGTTAATAAAACATAACCTTTCGTAGTAGTTTTTCAGCGGAAAATGGTCGATTTTGCAGCTTTTTTGGCAATTCCATTTGCAAAGATCCTAACACATGTTTTAACGTCACACATCATACAGTTTGACTGGGAATGCGTCCCGAAGTCGTCTAGATTGAGTTTGAAATTAGAACTTCGATAGATTTAGCATCTCAGACGCTTTCTTAATGTTGGTTTTGCGATCGAAGGTGTCGAAGTGCCTTTAATCGGTGTGATTTTCACGAAGTTCATGCAATATTAACACCGTGGAAGGCTGTCAAACCGCAAATCTCTGATCGTTTAATTGCAAATCAATGTCGATAATTGATTTTAATTCACTGACAAATTAATTTGATGATGTGTGAGAATGAGAATTTTGGCATGTTTATGCAAAAAGTGGCACAATTTGATCGAAATGTGTAATGTTTTAAGCTTTGAGGGTCACAAAGTGCGGAGAAAATGCACCCAAAAGCTCTCATTTGCATTTTCATTCTCAGCACAATAAATGGTGTCGAATGTTTTTCTTTTTCTCCTTCACTTCACTTCTTATTTGTGTATTAGGAAAATATAATTTTAGATGACACACGTTTCAACCTTGAAGTTTTTGATCACGTCAAAATCTTCTTAATACTTCTTCAAGCACACAACTTGCAATGTGTGGATGAAAATTAATCACATGTTGTGTGAATTCTGTGAGAGATGAATTTTTCACTCTCTGTCGTGCGAATGGTGGAAAAAAGAATGTTGATTAAAATTAACGCAATGAATTTCATGTTTCCAATTATTGCTCTTGATAAATGACTGTTTAATCATCTTTTCTCCATTGAATAATCCGTCTTTCGTGATTTTATTTTAACCTGTACGGTTTTGAGATATTTATTCAATCCAGAGAACATCAAGTATTTCAGCTCAACATTAAGGAAGTTCACTGACTTATTGTTGGGGGGTTTTTTAAAAGGAGGAAAACTCTATTAAAGTGTAGAAAATAATTGGACAAATTGGAGAATTTGAAGAGAAATCTCAAGTGTGTTTTCGGGCACATATTTTCCCTCCTGGGCGGCCAGAGATTTTCACTCAGGAATATGTGTTCAATTGAATTTCTGTTTTTCCCGCACACGAAACGCCGTGACGACGACTGACCGTGACGCGATGGAGATGTTTAAGCTATTACATCATTGCTCATGTTCGGCTGCTTTCTGAGCATGATAAACCCGCGCTGAATGTGTGTTGTCTCTTCGAATGCCACGCGAGTGTTGCTGCTGAAATCGCCCTCAAATAGATAGGAAATTCGTGTGCGTGCGACCGGAGGTCATGTGGGTGGTGAATTTACAACACAGATATACAGAATGACATCCTAAATTCCTCACCCAATTCGCTCATCTTCTTGCATTTCTTGGTCTCAGGAGAAAAAAAAACCGCACAAAATGTCGACAAACTCTTTCTGTGTTGCGCAAGTTGGGAATTATGGTGAAGTTTTAGCATAAATTGTTGTCTTTTTTTTCATTCATCCTGTGTCGCCGTAATCAATTAATTCCGGAAGATGAAGTTGGAGAAGCAAGAAGCTGTGCAAGGAGATTTGTGGAGATTTACAAGCCAAGAGACAGAGAGAGAGAGAGAAGAAAATTCTATTTCTGTATTCCCACCTCACGTCGTCATAATGATTGTGGTTACGGGTCTCTTTTTTTTGTGTACAATATATGAAAAACACAGAAGAGCTTTCCCTCCGTGGCATTTTTTTGTGTTCACACACAGAATTTATTATTATTTGACGGAGAGACTCTCTTATGCACGTACACAAAATACAAGAGCCATAATGTGCATTTTACTGAGTGATTTTTAACCATTCAGAACGAACAGTTGAGTCTCGATTGACGGGTGTTTTTCGGAGGATTTTTGGATCAATTCCCACTGAAACTGAGGAATGTTAAACTGAGGAATGAGTTTTGGGCGATTGAACATTGTTTAAAAGAAGGAAAATTGTGAAATTTTCTAAGAAATGGAGAAAATCCTCGATAAAAACAATTTACTGCAAATATTGCTTGTAGACTGTTTAAAAATAACACATTCAGTCAAAAATCAGAATAGCAAATAACACTTTTGGTTAATTTTTTAACACAAGTGGTGAGATTGTTAACACAATCGCCATTTGAAGCCTTTGATGTATGATTCAGAAATCCAAAGACTATTTTAACAGCTATAACACATCTGTAACATTCCTCAGTTTAAGCTAGAATTGATACATTTACTTGAGCAATGTGAAGAATGTAAAGTTAATCACTTTGGAGAGAAATAAGATTCTTCCTAATGAGAAAGAAATGTTTTTGAAAAATTTCTACCTGATTTATAGATATGAAATAATCTCATGAAATCATCAACAGAAGTTTAATTTTAGCATCACAAGCAATAGTAATATTTCTTTATGATGGATAATGAAATGAAATGAAGTTCTTGTTCTCTTTTTCCATTTAATGATAAATGCCAATTTCACAAATATAAAACTAACAATATTAAATGGGTGCGGTGCAGAGAGAGTGAGAGAAAAGAGAGCAAAATCGATATGTTTTCACGACTATTTCGCTTGCATTTTTTGCGCAAATATATTTTTACGCAATGCCTAGTTTGGGCATGGAAATCACTTTCACGGAGAATAAATCACACACAGAGAGTGAGTTTAATTGGGCACGCATTTTATGTGGCGAAACACAGGCCAAATTGGGGGGTGTAAAATAGGCGTGAGACGCACGAGATATGTTCTTGTTTTTGGGGTTTTAGCTGTAAATATGTCAAAAATATAGATTATTTTTCATCTCGCGCGGCTTTTTCTGCTTCTCTTTGGGATGCGGTGTTTGATGGCGGAAAAGAGGTTGAGCGATGGCATTTTCAATGGATGGATGTGAGAGAAAATGAATAAAATGCGAAAGAATGGAGTGTTGGAAGAGGGAAAAAAGAGACTGACGGTGTGTGCGGTTTTAATTCAACTCTTCTCAATTGATTTACACACACTTTGTTGGTCGATTTCACTGACGACG